CACATGTATGCTGACTAGCCATCATCCTAAAACTATTACTAATCATATTACTAACCATACGTCAAATCACAAGACTTGCTATGTGTGGCATGCTGCGAAAGCCAGTTTCAAAATTGTTTATTCCTAAGAAACTCAAAATAAGATGGTGAATGGCGTGACAACAGGCAGCAACACAGACCACACCTTCCCAGTTCAGGCTTCAAAAATCCTGGACATATGCTGTAGGCGTAGAAACTATATTTCAAGTCTAAACCCAGAATTATTTCAGCAAATAATGTGGTGTATTTTTTTTTTTTTTACAGAGAGGTGACGCTAACAATTAACATCATTTACAGAGGTTGTTTGTTTGTTTGTCTGTGTTTGCGTCTCCTCCATTATGGCCGTTCATATGCTGATCACAAGGTCAAGATTAAAAGTAAACCTGACCTTGAGGAGCATTGTCGTCTAAGGAAACACCTGCACATTGAGGTTCTCCCCTTTTAAGGAGAAATTTAAGATTATGCAGGTGAGGTGTGTGACACAGTACCCAGATCTGATTAGAGCAGGGGTGTTGAACTCCAGGCCTCGAGGGCCGGTGTCCTGCAGGTTTTAGATCTCACCCTGAACTGAATCAAATGATTAGTTTATTACCAAGCCTCTGGAGAACTTCAAGACATGTTGAGGAGGCAATTTAGCCATTTAAATCAGCTGTGTTGGATCAAGGACACATCTAAAACCTGCAGGACACCGGCCCTCGAGGCCTGGAGTTCAACACCTGTGGATTAGAGGTTATAAAAACATGGTTAGGTACAACGGACAGTGGCCAGGGGAAGATGGTGGCTGAGGAATGCATAATAAAGGATTATAGATTTTGTATTTCTAAAGGGTTAGAGGTTAGACGCCAGAAGGAAGTGGAGAGCAGTGAACAGCAGAGCAGCTTGGTTGAGTGAATGAACGTGACGGGAAAGAGGTTATGAAAAAGATTTTGTCATCTGACAGGTAGAACAAGCCCAGATGTGGTAAAACTGGTTTAAAAATGAAGAAACACAGCATTGCAGTTTCACTATGACACAAGTTACCATTATGAAAAAAGCAAAGTTTAAACAATTACTTTTGTCTGTTTTGGCTTAGATAATCAAATATATCAGACATAAGGAAACCATTAATTATACAGTTCCTGCTGCTAGTCAATTACCATTGAGCTGTGGAACCTCAAGTCTCCTTTTCTCGGAGTATTGTCATCTATTTAATGTTATCTGAACACAGATTTCTACCCTAATGAAGATAATGTGATACTGAAAACTCTGGCACAGCTATAATATATAGATGGGTGAGACTGCTTAGTCATATTCTGTTTTTAATGGTCAAATGTGAACTGCACAAAGTAAGTCACAATATTGATTGGATATATTCACAGCCAGCTAGATTGATTTGCTTCTTAACATTACCATATTATAAATGGTCACCCTGAAAAAGCAGTAATTATGCAAAATGTCATTACTGCTTTATGTTGTAACTTTACATATAACTAGCAGCATAGTAGCAGTAATAAATTAACCTGCCCACTTTGTCACTAAATAGAAAATAGAAATTTAAAAACTGTACTGGAGTAAAAACAGTAAAAAGTACAATATTTTTACACTGAAATGCTGCGAAAATATAAAGCAGCAGAACACTTACATTTAGCTAACTCGTAGACAAAATTATAAATAGGCCTTCCTCAAAGAGGATTCTACAGCACTACTTGATAAAAATGCAGCCTACCTAGTTACTTTAATCCGCTGCGTTTTTTAATTAAATCACGAAAAACTCCCAAACAATTCTGTTTAGTCGAGGTTTGTCACATTTGTCGGTAAAAGCTCGTTTCCAGCATCCCCTCACAGTAAAAACCCGGTTAAGCACCGGGAGCAGGACGTGTTCTTTCAAACGAATTTTCTGAGGCGCATGCGCACAGTCGCACCACTGCAACGGCTCTGCAGTCACAGCTAGACGGTGACGTCACTCAATTCAAGCGATAGGCAAGCCCGGACACACACCGGCAGGCGATGAGCGGCGTTGCTGATCCGACCCAGGCAACCGGGGGTTCCAAAAAAACTGTTGAGCCGGGGACGGTTGAAGACCACACCGTAGACCACACCAGCGAGGAGCCGGGACTATTCGACGGGTACCGTGTTGCGTTTAAGTGCCGTTTTTTGTTCCTCGTATAAGCATCACCGGGCTACCTGTCAGAGCAGCCTGTCACGGAGCTTATCGCAGCAGGTTTTTATGGACGTGACAATGACTCTCCAGGATGAACTGACCACAGCCGCGGCGAAGGGAAACACGGCAGCGGTGGAGGCTCTTCTGAACAGAGGGGCTCAAGTTAACGGGACGAACAGTTTTGGACGAACCGCTCTGCAGGTCAGTGCCGTCAGTAACAGCCCACTTACTCCCACTTACACGGGTCTCATCAGGCGGGGTAACTCAAAGTTTCCAAATGGCAAACGCAGGCATAAATCCTTATTATTTCTATTTTTTTTTACAACTATTAGCTATTAGAGATTTATACATGTCAGTAATAATAATAATAATCATTAAAAAAGAAAGAAAGAAAGAAAGAAAGAAACGACGGGTCTGAAAGTGACGCGCTTTGTTGTGTTTATGGAAGTCGCGTATTTTTATTGAGGAAAAGCAACAATCCCGGATCCCTTTGGTTTATTGTAAAAGCTGTAACGGCATCAGACTATAGTGAAATGAAACTATAATATTGTTTCTTGCCTTTGGATTGGCCTAAAAAAACTAGGCTGCATTGCAATATATGTGGCACAAAAATACTTTAACAATATAAAGCATCATAATATATTTTTACGCATTCTTTATATATATATATATATATACACACACACACACATATATATATGTATATTTGAATTCATGGCCCACATGTTGCGCTGATCGGTAGTGAAATGCCTCTTCAGTTGTTGCACTACAACAACAATCATCCTATCTACATTCTTTGGAGCTTTTTAAAAAACCTGTCGCGTCAGTCACAGCAGGCCTGTTTTGGTTGGGTGTAGAAGACTCGGGTTCAAGTAAAATGAAAGTCAACACTAAAGTCAGCCGCATGATAATAAATACATGAATAAATAAACGCACAGGGTTAGTGTCTGTGCAAATAGTGCAAAAATAATTAACTGGCGCTGTACTTGTGCTTAATGTGCGCCTATATTAGTGAGTGACGGTGGGCTTACATGAAATAGTTTTTGTGCTTCAGAGTAAAATAATCGGATTCAGTTAAATCGGTTAATATGATTCCCGGTCATGTTTTTTTTTTGTGTAGGTAATGATGATGGGGAGCACGTCGGTGGCTCAGCTGTTACTCGAGCATGGAGCGAATTCCAACGTGGGGGACTCAAGCACCGGGGCAAGCCCGCTGCACGACGCTGCTCGGACGGGCTTTCTGGACACTGTGCACCTTTTAGTGCAGCACCACGCAGACCCACAGGCCAGGGACAAGTTAAAACGTCTGCCTGTCGATTTAGCCAGACAGCACGGCCATAGAGATGTTGTTGATTTCCTGGAGAGTCTGCAAAATCCCTAACCCTGTGATGTCTTATTTTTATTTTTTTAACTCCTTGCAGCCGGTTCTGAAGGTGGACTTTGCAGAGCAGGGGCCTAAAAAGGCCTTCAGCCGAAATTACGCACTTGAAGTTTTGCTGTAAAATGCAGTATTGCTCTTTATTTATTCACTTTCGGTGTGTATCATTATTTTATTTCTAACGAAATCAGGGTTGTCGATGGGTCTATGTGTAAAAATGTAGGCCACATTTTCACACAACAACATCGCAACTTTTGTTAATTTAAGAATATGTTATGTTTTATTTTTTGGGGGGTTTTTTCCAAGTGTTTATTTTCACTTTTTAAACATTTTTCCTTGTAAATATAATGTACAGTTTTACCCAATTATATTGTTTGCATATCAGATATTTAACTAAATACTACAAGAGATATTTTAGAAAGAAATTGGAAATTTTGCGAAGTTTGTGAACTTTTTTTTTTTTTTTTTAAATCCAGGATGCACACTACTGAGGTCTAATCTCATTACCTAATACTGATATTCTGCACCTTGATGTAAACTAACACTGGTTTGTGAGGGCTGGACTGCTGTAGGATGCGTACTGGAGAATTAAAAACAAATGGAAAATACATGAAATACGTAACTCTGAACTCAGTAGTTTAATTATCCCAAAGGAGCTTTTGAATACATTAAACTTTTCTTAAGTTGGGGTAGGATTAGACAAGTTTGTAACTGCTCCGTCCCGCTCCTTTTCCAGCGTGTAAATTGACGGGTACGGAGTTGGAGGCAACCCGCTGCGCCTGTTCTTTGTTCACCTGCTTTACTTGTGTTGCTTATTTTAATTGCTCTATTTCAAACATGAAAATAAAAATACAACCAAGCGGTTTTGAGCCGATACAGACTGCATACAGCGCATGGTAAGGATTATTATCATGCCAGTATTTGTGCAAATGTTTATTTATTCAGTGAAGAACTGACACGTTTACCGAGCTCGCCTAACGATGCTTTAGTAGAGTTTTGGGTCAGAATTACTTTTATAGTGGTACATTACTGACGCCTCATTAAAAAATAAAAATCTGAAAAGATATTAAAGAAAATAATAAATTGTATAAAGCTATGTTAAACATGAGGATGGCTTAAGTTCACCAATAACCAAAGGTATTCTACAACATACAGAAATCCACTCCATAGTTCTAATGTTTGCTGCTTTTAAATCGTTATAAACTGTAACAATAGTAAACCCTTTCAAATAAGATTTAATTCATCCTGTGTCAGACAAAAGTATCTTTAAGATTAAATCATTGATTTCCAGCACACTCCTGTTTCAAGAGCAGCAAAAAAAAAAAAAAAAAAAAAAAAAAACCCTAAATTGTTCCTCTTAGGATATGAACACATGCTGCAAACCAACTGAGAAAATATTCACTGCAAGTCCAAGTAACTCAATTAACCACAAACTCAACTTGGATTAGTCAAAGTCTAACTTTTATTGAGACAAATTATTCATACTACAGAAAAACAGGCTGCTGAAGAAGAGGCTACTAAATATGCTGTGCAATGTACAGAGTAAGTTCAAGTTAAGAAAATGTAAACAAGAAAAATCTCAAATGACTACAATATGATGCAACATGACAAAATTCCCATTTCAATCCATGCTTTGGGGGAAAAAAAAAAAAAAAAAAACCCCAAACTGTCAGTATAGCAAATAATTTGGGTGTTTCCCCCCCACTACCACTGTTGGTACATGTTTACTGCCAATTTGACAGCTTTTCACTGACTTGGTTACGGTATTTGCAGGTACAGAACAGCATGCCATTCAAAATGAGATGTTTCTCTAGTCATTAAACACAGTCATAAAGAGCAAATAAAAATGAAATTATTCCGTAAAGACCACAAGAGTGACCAGATTGAAGTAACATTTAGACGTTCAGTCATTCTCATGCTGACAATAGATTCAAGCTTGAAGAGTAGAAGCTTAAATGCAACTAAGGCAGTAATATAGTATTTGTGTGCTAAACTTGCAAAGCTTTAAAAATCATCTTCATATAACCAGAAACTAAGACACCAGTGGCTTACAACCAGCAAACACATACAAATGTGTCCACAAAATACTGAATACTTAAAACCTTAGAATGTTTAGACCCAAATGTGGTAACTGTAACAAACATCCATTTCCTCAACTACAGCTAGAGTGGAAGGGCCCTCCCACCTAACACTGTGTGAGAGGAAAACATGCTCCAGACATAAATGAGTGATCTCTGAATCAGAGTCAAGAGTCAACACAAAACACTGAACATCCAACTAAATAAAGACCCCCCCCAAAAAAAAAAAAAAAGAAAATAAAAAGTGGATTATTTAATGTGAGGCACTTTGTTGTGATTCACTGATGACGATTGGACGGGCAGGGTTGAGTTTGCAGTCGGTGTTTGACTCCGTGTGGGTGGTTGTCTGGTCTCTTTATCCTTTCTAGTAGTTTCCTCTGCGTTTAGTGCTTCGGTATCATTACTGAAGACTGAGCCATCGACTGGAAGAAAGAAAATGTTATTACCAAAGTGTGTCACTGACACAGAGTCAAGGAGCCTTTTCTATATTTAGGAAAAGTAGTTATCAACATTGTCTTTAAGAAAGTACTCATTTTTCATCAAAAGTTAACACTGTCATTAAAGAAAGTTTTGAAGAGAAAATTAAGGAATTTCAGGCACAGTCTGTGCAAAAACACTGGGATACAGAGTGTTTTTCAAAATTTTAATTAATACACGTTTATCATGGTGCAAGTACTGCAAGAGATCCAACATAGCACAATGTGTCCTATTGTCTGAGTGAGCCCCCCCTTTTAGAAAATCATCTTGTTAATAGGCTCCCCCTCAAAAAAAAAAAAAAAAAAAAAAAAAAAAAAAAAAAAAAAAAAAGCACCATGAGGTTTTGTTATTCTTTAGAAATGCTGAGAGAAATAAGTGAGATCAAAGTTCACGATAACCAGATAGAAAGCAAACAGACCCTCTTTCACAACTTGCGGAATGGAAATGAATCATCATAAAGCTGACGGCTTACTTTCAATGTATTTATTGTCTGAGCCCAGTCCATCTGACTAATCTGGGGTATTGCTGTTAACAGGATACTGCTAGCTTTGTTTGCATTCTCCTTCATCGTCTTCAGTACATTGTCAACACAGACCTAGGACGAGAAGAAGAAAAGAGAAAAAATGTACAGCAGCCATTTAAGAGGAATCACTTGCAATGGTGCAAATTTCACTTCCTTTAAAATGTCACAGCCACGCATTTCGAAAATAACCATCTTGGTGTGTATTTTTATTTTGTCTACTTTGAGTGAAGTAAACACTCTTCTGTGAACAATTCTTGAAAGCAGAGCATGATGTAAAGACAGGCACCATCTTGTAAAATCAGCTGTTTTTATGAATAGATTATGTATACACTTTAAAAGAACGACGGTGTGAACTCAGTCGCTAAGATGTAACACACATAATGTGGCCTCCTCTTTACTCAAGTCACAATTACACAAAAACGCCAATAATTTTACTTTTCATGCCTTTGGTGAACAAACCAGTTCAACATAATGGTGAATAAAATCCACTCAGCTGAAAAATGACACCACCCACTCCTCCCGTAAAAGGCCAGTGCGGTTAATGTAGATGTCAGCTTTCTCAAGAAAGATACATTTTCATATTCTACATGCAACAACACACAATTTCTTTTGCAGCTATGCATTACAGGTGTAATTTTTACCAATTTGAAAACAAAAACCGATGATCTTTAGTGTGAAAATACTTTCTGCATTACTAAGGTGGTGTGTGTGGCTATAATTTACAAGATTATTGTGAACAGTACTCAGTCCCCCAATGTGGAACCAGTTTAGTGCATTTCCACAAATGACTGGAAGTGATGCTAAAAAGCCGGCATCAGTAGGGCAACACAAAATTGCTGAGCTAAGAACCACCAAAACCAGAGTCGTGTGTGTGAGAAATTCACAAATGTCTGGCAAATGGAGCACATGCTTGTCTTCCCTGTAATGTTATCCTTTAAAAATAAATTGATAAAACCTTCAATCTGGCACCAAGGCACAACTGACTGCACCTTCACTGTGCTGGTGGAAAAAAGGTATGTGAATATGATCTTAATAGCACTGGTTTAGTAAAACCATAAAAAGAAAAAAAAAAATTTAAACATTCATGTACGAGTGCAGCAGAAACAAAGCTACTGGACAACACGGAGAGCAGTTGATTGTGAAAGTACCGGCTTAACCAAATCAGTCACGTCAGGACCTGTGAGTGAGCCACAGCAGTAGGTGGAAAAACAATATTTTGCTCTTTGCACCTGTACTGGGATTGCTGCGTACATTTTACAACCGTCACCTGTGCTCTGAAATTTAGTGACTCATTACATGGTTCAGTTTCGAGCCTACTGAACCATGTATACGACACTAGCAATCACTTTACTCCCGTGGCTAATGCAATACAATGGAGGAACTAAAAATCAAAACGGTGAAATAAGCAGTTATACCGCACAAACGTGGAGTTCTCATTCCCATATTCTTGTATAAATGCAGTGAAGTATTAGTTCATAATCCATTCTGAAATTCATTCAGCCACAACTACAGTGTACATTACAGTAAGTTGCACAACATTACTTCCATCCTGTGTACCTCCTGTAACCTTCATTAACCCTTCCCTTGAGTGCTTGTTTTTATGTCACACTCAATGATTAGGTTCATGTTTTTGTGGTATTTGTCAGGATGAAGACAGTGTAGCTGATGACTCAGTGTGACTCAACCTCCTCTGGCAGGGCTTCCACCGGAGACTGGCAAACAAGCCGACTGGTTGGAGAGGGACAAGAAGGGGGGGGGGATGCCAGGAGGTAGTATCAAGCTGCGAGGGAGTGAAGTGGGGGGGGCGGAAGGATGTGGCGAGCATTCTCTAACAGGAGGGGGAAGAGGTCAGCTGCAGGAACTCGGAAGTGGAGTTGTGAGTTGGGCTGGATCAGTTCTATATAAGCCAGCGCTCGCCCACACGCAGTAGATCAACTGCATAATCCAGAGCGCCTGACAGAGGCCAGGTCACTCGGAAGCCATAAGAAGCCACAGATACTTTTATCTACTTATGGAGCACAGATGTTAAAAACCTCTAACCCATCATTTATAGTGAGAGTGAACAATCTGGTTTAGAAACTCGTTGTGATACAGTAAACTTTAAAACTACAGCCACTACTTAAAATACACTGCTCAAAAAAATGAAAGCAAATTTATTAGATTTCAGTGGGGGGGGGGGGGAAACTGGACATCTATACCGATACGGACTGGGTAGTGTGTGAGGAATGAAAGGATGCCACATAATTTGGAAATGATCAATTTGAAAAGTATAAACCTACAGAGAGCCGAATTCAAAGGCATCCTGAAGATCAAATGAAGCAGCGGACTAGTCCATTTTGCTGACATTTCATTACTGTAATTCACACTGGTACTCAGTTTGGCCCCCACATGCTTGCCCAGCGATGTTGGACCATGCTCCTAATGGGACAATGGATGGTGTCTTGGGGGATCTCCCAGATCACTTGGCTCATGAACAGTCTGAAATGAAACACGACTGATGCCTAATGACAGCTAGGGTGATGCTCTCTAGCTAATCAGAGGCATTCACACCAGTATCCTGCTGGAGGTCACTTTGGAGCTCTGGCAGTTCTTGTCCTGTTCTTCCCTGCACAAATGAGCAGATACTGGTCCTTCTGATGGATTTGACTTTCTACAGCCCTGTTCAGCTCTCCTTGAGCAAACCTTCTGGCAATAGCACGCATCAATGTGCCATCCTGGAGTTGGCCCACCTGTGCAACCTCTTTAGGATCCAGATTTCCAGGCCTCATGCTAGCCAAATGCAAAACTAGTGCAAAGACAATCAGAAAAGATGAGGTTTAAAAAAAAAAAAAAAAAAAAAGAAGTCAGTGGCCTTCACCTGTAAAACCATTCCCGTTTTAAGAGTTGTCTCACTGTTGTCCCTCTAGTGCACCTGTTAATTTCATTAATGCCAAAGCAGCTGAGACTGATAAGTAGCAGAGGGCACTGTTTAACTGGCCATATCTTTTTTTTTTTTTTACTTTAATTGAATCGAATGACTAAAATTAAATGGCTTAAAACTAACCCATTAACTCCAATTACAAAAAGGCAAGACTAATTTTGTTCCCAGAGCTGAACACTGCAGACGTGACAACATGTTTCTGTACGAAACAAGTGTTTATTGCTTTGGCATCATAAACATATCAGACTTCGTTATCTCAGAGGTAATCTGGGAGGACTGGATATAATTGCACTGAAATTATTTTAGTGCGCTATTTGACGCACGAAGTGGACGTGCGTTTAAATTGTGTTGCACAAAAGCAACTGAGGGAACTCGTGACCTGGCCAAGGCTGACCTCGCACAGCTTGCCAAGATGGCCTTTGAATGAGCTTCTGAAGAGCACCATGGAGTTAAAAGGTTGTCATTGCTTCTACCTGGTCGGCCAGCCAGCAGGAAAGTTCCCAGAGCTGATGTTGTGGTATAAGGCAGTTTTCTATTTGTTGGTAAATTTTGTTTTCCATTGTAAAGAAACAAAACCAATGTCTGCACTGCGTAAAACGATGTTATGATAAGCAATACTTAGCTTGCTAGTGTCGTCTTTGTTTTGTTTTTTTAAATGTATCAACACAAGTCATCAGGGCATGTGCTGGATCAGGCTGAACAGGGTGACTGTCGTTTAGGAGGGTTTGAAAGGTAAACTCCAAAACAGTCTGCTGCGCTTGTTGACATTTAGTCACAGTATTATGAATCTACATACTTTGAGGTGCGATTTCTGTGTCTTTTTTTAAGCTTTGGCATAGGAGAATGATATGCATATTCCTTAATCTCTCAAAAATAAGTGTATTGTTAAGAAATTAATGTTAAAAAGTGATTTATTTTTTCAAAGCCAAAAAACAAACTGAGAACTTCACCTGCAAACTCTGCTGATCACAGCTTAGCAAAGATAAAGTAGGGGAGCCAGTTTGAGGATCGCAGAACAAACAAATGATGATTAGGCTGCAAATAAATGATATAAATGCAACCTAATGCCATTAGCTTTATGCTACCCTTTTCTTAAAGTTGTGCAATTATCTTCAGGCCTAATATCAAAAAGCTTACACTTAAAATCAGTCATATTCATTCAGCTCTTAAATAATGCTCTTTAATTTCGTCGTGTAAAATTAAAATGTTTAGGTTGGTGTTTGTTGTGCAGTGGGCCAGGGAAGAGGCACGATGCACCGTTAACTGACCCACTTTAACAGGGCATCATCCACTGCCACTGACTCACAAGACAAATAAAAGCTTGAAACATCAAAGTAATAAAAACGACAGTTAGGACCTCTGGCCCGCCACTCACTGCTTCCTCGTGCTCCTTCCAACAGTCGTAGTCTGTTGCCATGGCAATGCTGGCATAGCACAAGCCAGCCTCCTTGGCGAGGACCGCCTCTGGCACGGTGGTCATATTGATGACGTCAGCACCCCACTGGCGGAACATCAGGCTCTCTGCCCGCGAAGAAAACCGAGGCCCCTCGATAGTCAGCATGGTCCCTCGCACATGACATTTGACCCCCAGACTCCGCGCCACCTCCACCAAAACCTGCAGGGAATATCACCGTCATTCTGGAATAAATCACTAACCCCCAAGGCGGGGTGGCAACTGCTTATCTGTATGCCGTTTCAGTCTACTGCAGATAAGCAGACATTCATTCTAAACACAGACGCTACCCCCATGAAAACACCGTCTCTGAAGGTCCATTATTTTTCTTGACCAGGAGAAGTTTTTCATGTCAATATTGGAAACTTAAAGACAATTATGGTTTTATTCAACCTGGTGCATTCTGTGGCCCGAAAACAAAACAACAAACAGTAGGTAACCAGCAATCAGACAGTAAAGCCTTTCCATCAGCACACAGCAGCAGATATCCCACGTTAGTCGAGGTTCCCATTTCTGGAAATGATGCGGGGTTAATATTTGTTAGAATGGTACGTTGGTTCAGTCGAGGGTGCTGCCACAGCAGAGCCCGCAGAGGACAGGACACACAACTCACCACCAAATTACCTGTATTACTTTCCCATCCAACAGGACATCGCTTAGACTTGGTGCTAGAGAGCTGGCAGGTTAAAGACCATTTAATGTCCAGTTTGACTGCATCGGATATTTGTGCTCTCATATGCACCTCAGTCATGTAACGTCTAGAAAAGCATCACAAAAAACCTCCTTTACGTTGTCAGACAAAAAGACCCACAGTGATGTGCACTTCATGCTATCAATACTTACACTGAATAAAAATAATCACTTTAGGAGAATTTAGTATACAGTGGTCCCTCGTTTATCGCGAGAGTTGCGTTCTAAAAATAACCTGCGATAGGTGAAATTCGCAAAGTAGTCAACTTTATTTTTTTACAATTATTATAGATTTTAAGGCTGTAAAACCCCTCACTACACACTTTATACACTTTTCTCAGACAGGCATGAACACTCTCACATTTTCTCTTGTTTAAACACTCAAAGTTCAAACCTTCGTAGAAAAATAAGTCCAGCATTATAGAATGAAACCAAAGATCAGACCCTATTCTCAGGTCCAGAACATGGGAATAGAGCAGCCGCCAGAGAATTCAACATTAATGAATCAATGGTACGGAAGTAGAGGAAGCAATAATAATCAGATGAGTAAAGTTTGACTTATCTGACTGTTTTGTTTCGCTTAATGCGCCCTATAGTCTGGTGTACCTTATGGTCCGGAAAATACGGTAACTTCTACCTTACTTTAGCATGTCCAGAAGTCCAACTTTTTGTGCGACGATTAGCATCTTCCTCTGCCTTTTGGGTGCTATCACGGGTGCTTTTGATGGTGCAAAATGTTTTGTCGACATTGTTGTGTTTGTTGGGGAGAAAACACACAGTGCAGCACTTCAGTCACACACTGCTAGCGATCGAAGATTTATGTAAATTTGACAAGCTGAACGCATTCTGTACTGTACAGGAGACCCGGCATGAAGGAGATTGACTGACAATGGTCTACAGCTGATCAGGACTCAGAACACAATGCACTATTTTAAAAAAAAAAAAAAAAAAAAAATCTGCGAAACAGCGAGGCTCTCAAAAGGTGAACCGTGTTATAGCAAGGGACCACTGTACTGAGCAAAATTACATGTCAGTTACAAAATAACAAGTTTGACGTAGGACGTGTTTAGATTTATAGACTTACCTCTCTAGTTTTGTTGCAGAAAGGCTCAGCCATGGGGATATGACAGACACCTGGGGGACTGGTGGGCTGACCATCGTAGAGTGTTTGAGACCTCTTGGTTGTCCTACCAAACAAAAAA